GATGTTGATGATGATGGCACTGCTGATGATGATGTTGCTGATGATGTTGATGGCACTGCTGATGATGATGTTGCTGATGATGTTGATGGCACTGCTGATGATGATGTTGCTGATGATGATGTTGATGATGTTGATGATGATGGCACTGCTGATGATGATGATGATGTTGCTGATGACGATGTTGATAATGTTGATGATGATGTTGCTGATGATGATGTTGATGATGATGTTTTTCAGGTATGGCTGGGAAGCAAATGATCTTGGTACCAGTAATGAAGCTACCGTACGGATCTCAGCAATACCCAATGTACTCATAGATACAATACTCACAAACACTACAATACTCATAGATACACTACTCACAAACACTACAATACTCATAGATACAATACTCACAAACACTACAATACTCATAGATACACTACTCACAAACACTACAATACTCATAGATACACTACTCATAGATACACTACTCATAGATACAATACTCACAAACACTACAATACTCATAGATACACTACTCACAAACACTACAATACTCATAGATACACTACTCATAGATACACTACTCACAAACACTACAATACTCATAGATACACTACTCATAGATACACTACTCACAAACACTACAATACTCATAGATACACTACTCACAAACACTACAATACTCATAGATACACTACTCATAGATACACTACTCACAAACACTACAATACTCATAGATACACTACTCATAGATACACTACTCACAAACACTACAATACTCATAGATACACTACTCACAAACACTACAATACTCATAGATACACTACTCATAGATACACTACTCACAAACACTACAATACTCATAGATACACTACTCACAAACACTACAATACTCATAGATACACTACTCATAGATACACTACTCATAGATACAATACTCACAAACACTACAATACTCATAGATACACTACTCACAAACACTACAATACTCATAGATACACTACTCACAAACACTACAATACTCATAGATACAATACTCACAAACACTACAATACTCATAGATACACTACTCACAAACACTACAATACTCATAGATACCTACTCATAGATACACTACTCATAGATACAAGACTCACAAACACTACAAACTCATAGAGGTACACTACTCATAGATACACTACTCATAGATACAATACTCCCAAACACGACAATACTCATAGACTACACTACTCACAGAAACACTACACTGACTCATAGATCAATACTCATAGATACACTACTCACAAACCTACAATACTCATAGATACACTACTCACAAACACTAAAATACTCATAGATACACTACTCATAGATACACTACTCATAGATACAATACTCACAAACACTACAATACTCATAGATACACTACTCACAAACACTACACTACTCATAGATACAATACTCATAGATACACTACTCACAAACACTACAATACTCATAGATACACTACTCACAAACACTACAATACTCATAGATACACTACTCATAGATACACTACTCATAGATACACTACTCACTAAACACTACAATACTCATAGATACAATACTCACAAACACTACAATACTCATAGATACACTACTCACAAACACTACAATACTCATAGATACACTACTCATAGATACACTACAATACTCATAGATACACTACTCACAAACACTACAATACTCATAGATACAATACTCACAAACACTACAATACTCATAGATACACTACTCATAGATACACTACTCATAGATACACTACTCATAGATACACTACTCATAGATACAATACTCACAAACACTACAATACTCATAGATACACTACTCACAAACACTACAATACTCATAGATACACTACTCATAGATACACTACTCATAGATACACTACTCATAGATACACTACTCATAGATACAATACTCACAAACACTACAATACTCATAGATACACTACTCACAAACACTACAATACTCATAGATACACTACTCATAGATACACTACAATACTCATAGATACACTACTCACAAACACTACAATACTCATAGATACAATACTCACAAACACTACAATACTCATAGATACACTACTCATAGATACACTACTCATAGATACACTACTCACAAACACTACAATACTCATAGATACACTACTCACAAACACTACAATACTCATAGATACACTACTCACAAACACTACAATACTCATAGATACACTACTCACAAACACTACAATACTCATAGATACACTACTCATAGATACACTACAATACTCATAGATACACTACTCACAAACACTACAATACTCATAGATACAATACTCACAAAACACTACAATACTCATAGATACACTACTCATAGACTACACTACTCATAGATACACTACTCACAAACACTACAATACCTCATAGATACACTACTCACTAACACTACAATACTCATAGATACACTACTCACAAACACTACAATACTCATAGATACACTACTCACAAAACACTACAATACTCATAGATACACTACTCACAAACACTACAATACTCATAGATACACTACTCATAGATACACTACAATACTCATAGATACACTACTCACAAACACTACAATACTCATAGATACACTACTCACAAACACTACAATACTCATAGATACACTACTCATAGATACACTACTCATAGATACACTACTCACAAACACTACAATACTCATAGATACACTACTCACAAACACTACAATACTCATAGATACAATACTCACAAACACTACAATACTCATAGATACACTACTCACAAACACTACAATACTCATAGATACACTACTCACAAACACTACAATACTCATAGATACACTACTCACAAACACTACAATACTCATAGATACACTACTCACAAACACTACAATACTCATAGATACACTACTCACAAACACTACAATACTCATAGATACACTACTCATAGATACACTACTCATAGATACAATACTCACAAACACTACAATACTCATAGATACACTACTCACAAACACTACAATACTCATAGATACACTACTCACAAACACTACAATACTCATAGATACACTACTCATAGATACACTACTCATAGATACAATACTCACAAACACTACAATACTCATAGATAAACTACTCACAAACACTACAATACTCATAGATACACTACTCACAAACACTACAATACTCATAGATACACTACTCACAAACACTACAATACTCATAGATACACTACTCATAGATACACTACTCATAGATACACTACTCACAAACACTACAATACTCATAGATACACTACTCACAAACACTACAATACTCATAGATACACTACTCACAAACACTACAATACTCATAGATACACTACTCACAAACACTACAATACTCATAGATACACTACTCACAAACACTACAATACTCATAGATACAATACTCACAAACACTACAATACTCATAGATACACTACTCACAAACACTACAATACTCATAGATACACTACTCACAAACACTACAATACTCATAGATACACTACTCACAAACACTACAATACTCATAGATACACTACTCACAAACACTACAATACTCATAGATACACTACTCACAAACACTACAATACTCATAGATACACTACTCATAGATACACTACTCATAGATACAATACTCACAAACACTACAATACTCATAGATACACTACTCATAGATACACTACTCACAAACACTACAATACTCATAGATACAATACTCACAAACACTACAATACTCATAGATACACTACTCACAAACACTACAATACTCATAGATACACTACTCACAAACACTACAATACTCATAGATACACTACTCACAAACACTACAATACTCATAGATACACTACTCACAAACACTACAATACTCATAGATACACTACTCACAAACACTACAATACTCATAGATACACTACTCATAGATACACTACTCATAGATACACTACTCATAGATAAACTACTCACAAACACTACAATACTCATAGATACAATACTCACAAACACTACAATACTCATAGATACACTACTCATAGATACACTACTCACAAACACTACAATACTCATAGATACACTACTCATAGATACAATACTCACAAACACTACAATACTCATAGATACACACAGACACACACAGACTCACACAGACACACAGACTCACACGGACTCACACGGACACACACAGACACACACACACACAGACTCACACAGACACACACAGACACACACAGACACACACAGACACAAACAGACTCACACACACACAGACTCACACAGACACACACAGACACACACACACACACACAGACACACACACACACAGACACACACAGACACACACAGACACACACAGACACAAACAGACTCACACACACACAGACTCACACAGACACACACAGACACACACACACACACAGACACACACAGACTCACACAAACACAGACTCACACAGACACACACACAGACACACACACGGACTCGCACAGACACACACAGACACACACACACACAGACACACACACACAGACACACACAGACTCACACACAGACACACACACAGACACACACAGACTCACACAGACACACACAGACTCACACACACACACAGACTCACACACACGGACTCGCACAGACACACACAGACACACACAGACACACACAGACACACACACACAGACACACACACACGCAGACTCACACAGACACACACAGACTCACACAGACACACACAGACTCACACAGACTCACACACACGGACTCGCACAGACACACACAGACACACACAGACACACACAGACTCACACAGACACACACAGAAACACACAGACACACACAGACTCACACACACAGAAACACACAGACTCACACACACACACACACAGACACACACACAGAGACATAGACACACACAGACACACACACAGACACACACAGATACACACAGACACACACAGACACACACAGACTCACACAGACACACACAGAAACACACAGACTCACACACAGACACACACACAGACACACACAGACTCACACAGACACACACACACACAGACTCACACAGACTCACAACTGGTACGCTCATAGACATTGAGTTTGCCGAAGTGGTACTAAACACACTCTGAGTAGAGGTGTATGTATATATATATGTGTGTGTGTGGTAAGTAGCTGCTCATAGACATATCCGTAGACACGGGGCATGTGTGTGTGTGTGCTAAGTCGTTCACTGTTGGGGTGGGGTGATGATTCATCCTATTCATAGAGACGTGGACACCCCAGGTACTACTCATAGGCGATGTTTGTATAGAGATATTGACCCTATTCATAGAGACATGGACATCCTATTCGTAGTCACCACTCATATAGACAATGTTTTTTATAGAGATATTGATCCTATTCCTAGAGTACCACCCATATAGACAATGTTCATATAGAGATATTGATCCTATTCCTAGAGGTACCACTCATACACAATGTTCATATAGAGATATTGATCCTATTCATAGAGACGTGGACATCCTATTCGTAGTCACCACTCATATAGACAATGTTGGTATAGAGATCTTGATCCTATTCATAGAGACGTGGACATCCTATTCCTAGAGGTACCACTCATATAGACAATGTCCTACAGAGATATTGATCCTATTCCTAGAGTACCACCCATATAGACAATGTTCATACAGAGATATTGATCCTAGTCATAGAGGTACCACTCATGTAGACAATGTTCATACAGAGATCTTGATCCTATTCATAGAGACGTGGACATTCTATTCCTAGAGGTACCACTCATATAGACAATGTCCTACAGAGACATTGATCCTAGTCATAGAGTACCACCCATATAGACAATGTTTGTATAGAGATATTGATCCTATTCATAGAGACATGGACATCCTATTCGTAGTCACCACTCATATAGACAATGTTTCTATAGAGATATTGATCCTATTCATAGAGACGTGGACATCCTATTCCTAGAGGTACAACTCATATAGACAATGTCCTACAGAGACATTGATCCTAGTCATAGAGGTACCACTCATGTAGACAATGTTCATACAGAGATATTGATCCTATTCCTAGAGTACCACCCATATAGACAATGTTTGTATAGAGATATTGACCCTATTCATATAGACGTGGACATCCTATTCGTAGTCACCACCCATATAGACAATGTTTGTATAGAGATATTGATCCTATTCCTAGAGGTACTACTCATAGGCGATGTTTGTATAGAGATATTGATCCCATTCCTAGAGGTACCACTCATAGGCGATGTTTGTATGGAGATATTGATCCTATTCATAGAGGTATCACCCATGTAGACAATGTTCATACAGAGATATTGATCCTATTCCTAGTGTGCCACCCATATAGACAATGTTTGTATAGAGATATTGATCCTATTCCTAGAGGTACCACCCATATAGACAATGTTCATACAGAGATATTGATCCTATTCAGAGGTACCACTCATAGACAATGTTTGTATAGAGATATTGATCCTATTCAGAGGTACCACTCATATAGACAATGTTCATAGAGATATTGATCCTATTTCTAGAGGTATCACCCATATAGACAATGTTCATAGAGATATTGATCCTATTCCTAGAGGTATCACCCATATAGACAATGTTTGTATAGAGATATTGATCCTATTCCTAGAGGTACCACTCATAGACAATGTTTGTATAGAGATATTGATCCTATTCATAGACATGGACATCTTATTCCTAGAGGTACCACTCAGACAATGTTCATACAGATATATTGATCCTATTCATAGAGTTACCACCCATATAGACAATGTTCATACAGAGATATTAATCCTATTCATAGAGTCGTGGACATCCCATTCATAGAGGTACTACTTATAGACAATGTCCTATAGAAATATTGATCCTATTCCTAGAGGTACCACTCATACACAATGTTCATACAGAGATATTGATCCTATTCCTAGAGTACCACCCATATAGACAATGTTTGTATAGAGATATTGATCCTATTCCTAGAGGTACCACTCATAGACAATGTCCTACAGAGACATTGATCCTATTCATAGAGTACCACCCATATAGACAATGTTCATACAGAGATATTGATCCTATTCATAGAAGTACCACTCATAGACAATGTTCATACAGATATTGATTCTATTCATAGAGACGTGGACATCCTATTCCTAGAGGTACCACTCATACACAATGTTCATACAGAGATATTGATCCTATTCCTAGAGGTAACACTCATATAGACAATGTCCTATAGTTATTGATCCTATTCCTAGAGGTACCACCCATATAGACAATGTTTGTATAGAGATATTGATCCTATTCCTAGAGTACCACTCATATAGACAATGTTTGTATAGAGATATTGATCCTATTCATAGAGACGTGGACATCCCATTCCTAGAGTACCACTCATATAGACAATGTTTGTATAGAGATATTGATCCTAGTCATAGAGTACCACCCATATAGACAATGTTCATACAGAGATATTGATCCTATTCATAGAGGTACCACTCATAGACAATGTTCATACAGAGATATTGATCCTATTCATAGAGGTACTACTCATAGACAATGTTCATACACATATTGATCCTATTCCTAGAGGTACCACTCATAAACAATGTTCATACAGAGATATTGATCCTATTCCTAGAGGTACCACTCATAGACAATGTCCTACAGAGACATTGATCCTATTCATAGAGTACCACCCACATAGACAATGTTTGTATAGAGATCTTGATCCTATTCATAGAGACATGGACATCCTATTTATAGATTTCACCCATATAGACAATGTTTGTATAGAGATCTTGATCCTATTCATAGAGACATGGACATCCTATTCCTAGAGGTACCACTCATAGACAATTTTGTATAGAGATATTGATCCTATTCCTAGAGGTACCACTCAGACAATGTTCATACAGAGATATTGATCCTATTCCTAGAGGTACCACTCATAGACAATGTTCATACAGAGATATTGATCCTATTTCTAGAGTACCACCCATATAGACAATGTTCATACAGAGATATTGATCCTATTCCTAGAGGTACCACTCATAAACAATGTTCATACAGAGATATTGATCCTATTTCTAGAGTACCACCCATATAGACAATGTCCTACAGAGACATTGATCCTATTCATAGAGTACCACCCATATAGACAATGTTCATACAGAGATATTGATCCTATTCATAGAAGTACCACTCATAGACAATGTTCATACAGATATTGATTCTATTCATAGAGACGTGGACATCCTATTCCTAGAGGTACCACTCATACACAATGTTCATACAGAGATATTGATCCTATTCCTAGAGGTACCACTCATATAGACAATGTCCTATAGTTATTGATCCTATTCCTAGAGGTACCACCCATATAGACAATGTTTGTATAGAGATATTGATCCTATTCCTAGAGTACCACTCATATAGACAATGTTTGTATAGAGATATTGATCCTATTCATAGAGACGTGGACATCCCATTCCTAGAGTACCACTCATATAGACAATGTTTGTATAGAGATATTGATCCTAGTCATAGAGTACCACCCATATAGACAATGTTCATACAGAGATATTGATCCTATTCATAGAGGTACCACTCATAGACAATGTTCATACAGAGATATTGATCCTATTCATAGAGGTACTACTCATAGACAATGTTCATACACATATTGATCCTATTCCTAGAGGTACCACTCATAGACAATATTCATACAGAGATATTGATCCTATTCCTAGAGGTACCACTCATAGACAATGTCCTACAGAGACATTGATCCTATTCATAGAGTACCACCCACATAGACAATGTTTGTATAGAGATCTTGATCCTATTCATAGAGACATGGACATCCTATTTATAGATTTCACCCATATAGACAATGTTTGTATAGAGATCTTGATCCTATTCATAGAGACATGGACATCCTATTCCTAGAGGTACCACTCATAGACAATTTTGTATAGAGATATTGATCCTATTCCTAGAGGTACCACTCAGACAATGTTCATACAGAGATATTGATCCTATTCCTAGAGGTACCACTCATAGACAATGTTCATACAGAGATATTGATCCTATTTCTAGAGTACCACCCATATAGACAATGTTCATACAGAGATATTGATCCTATTCCTAGAGGTACCACTCATAAACAATGTTCATACAGAGATATTGATCCTATTTCTAGAGTACCACCCATATAGACAATGTTCATACAGAGATATTGTTCCTATTCCTAGAGGTACCACTCATATAGACAATGATCTACAGAGACATTGATCCTATTCATAGAGTACCACCCATATAGACAATGTTTGTATAGAGATCTTGATCCTATTCATAGAGACATGAACATCCTATTCCTAGAGTACCACTCATATAGACAATGTTTGTATAGAGATATTGATCCTATTCATAGAGACGTGGACATCCCATTCATAGAGGTACTACTCATAGGCGATGTTTGTATAGAGATATTGACCCTATTCATAGAGTACCACCCATGTAGACAATGTTTGTATAGAGATATTGATCCTAGTCATAGAGTACCACCCATATAGACAATGTTCATACAGAGATATTGATCCTATTCATAGAGTACCACCCATGTAGACAATGTTCATACAGAGATATTGATCCTATTCCTAGAGGTACTAATAGACAATGTTCATACAGAGATATTGATCCTATTCCTAGAGTACCACCCATATAGACAATGTTCATACAGAGATCTTGATCCTATTCCTAGAGGTACCACTCATAGACAATGTCCTACAGAGACATTGATCCTATTCATAGAGTACCACCCATATAGACAATGTTTGTATAGAGATCTTGATCCTATTCATAGAGACATGGACATCCTATTTATAGATTTCACCCATATAGACAATGTTTGTATAGAGATCTTGATCCTATTCATAGAGACATGGACATCCTATTCCTAGAGGTACCACTCATAGAGACAATGTTCATACAGAGATATTGATCCTATTCCTAGAGGTACCACTCAGACAATGTTCATACAGAGATATTGATCCTATTCATAGAGTACCACCCATATAGACAATGTTCATACAGAGATATTGATCCA